GCACAACTAACCCTCTCCAACAAAAACCACTTTCTTTCAGTTTCTAAACCCATGCATACATCAAAGGAAAATCTAGGGTCTTTTTTCGTTTCGGCTTCCACATCATTGATCCCTTCATTGAAAGCACTCTCTTACCCATGTTCTTCCTTTCTCGATTCTTTGCATGTAACATCATTTCAGATTTTGGAGGGGCCTTCCAATTCCTTAAGCCATGTTTCTCTCGGGTAATCAATACAAAGTCTCTGGCGATTGGAACTGGATTACATTTTAAAGTTAAACGAAATCTAACAAAACACGCCGGAAAATTCCTCATACCAATCACCTCTCTGCACCTTCTCTTCTTCGTCAAGGGTTTCGAGCACGGATGCATCGGATGCTTCACTCGCTTTTCTTCTTTCGGTCGATCCCAACCATCGTCCTCTCCACCCTATGGTCATCCTCTTCAACGATTGGAATCTCTCTCTCTATTCGCTTTATGTGTTTGTTTTGTTTTTTGATCAATGCCAGTGTTATCTTATATTCGATTTATGTAATATTTTGATGCTTTTGTTACTTTAGTTATGTGACCGGTTTTGTTTAATACTTTGTTCACGCTTCAGATTCACGATTATTTTGCTGCAAGAATGATTTCAGGGGAGACACTATAGAGAAATCAAGCTATATATGCAGAAATGAATAGAAGCTGAGGTACCTAACAAAGTCACAGAACGTACTTGATTGTGTCCTAAGTAATTCGTTTATTTCAATCTCTTCTTACATTTCTTAATGTTGCCGTTTGTTATTGCTTTTACTTATTGGCTAAAAGGGAGCTTGAACTCTGTTATGTGACTATATATTGCTTTGGAATTTAGAAATTGATAATTTGCATGGATTTTCTGGTTATGTGAGTTTGCACGCACAATAAATTAAATAATGCATGCTTTATGATTTTCAGTCAAGAGGCCTCGAACAATGTTTTGCATATTGGAATGACAATAGAAAAGAATTCCTTGAGTAAGCCCTTTTAAGGTCTCCTTATCTTTGTGTTTTATGTGTCTTTGGTAGGTCTGTTTGAAGGATGTGTTTTGTTCATATATATGATTCCACAAAATTTGCTCATCATCTTGGTCTCAGCAGTCATATTTGTTTCTTGAACTACGATCTTATTTGTAATTAACATTTCAATGATCTGAAATAATTTATTAAGGTGTAAAATTTAAAGATAATCAGCAGAGAAGAAAAGACTTCTCAATTCTCAGAATTCTTGGTTGTATAACGTTATATTCATCTTTGGTTTTCTCAGTTGATAAGGATCACGAACGCATTACCTAATATTTCCATAAACAACAAGCGATTAGGTTGTGTCCACCACATGCTCCAAACTCTCAGGCCAATAGATTTATCTAAATGAAGGTATGTCATTTTCTGCTCATGCTCATTTGATTTTCTAGGGTAAAAATATTTATAACTCAAACTTGGTACCACTATATCTTCAGTAGGCTGAGAGAAATTCATAAAGTTACAGAGTTTTTCCTTACGAAGTTATGTTTTAAAACCTCAACTAAATTTAAATATGGTTTATTTTTTTAAATTGGCATTGATTTATTTGTTGGTCTCTTTCAATCTCAAAACATTCATGAGTCAAAACAAGGCTTAAATTCGATATATATGATTTTACCAAGGGATGTTTTTAAAAGAGTTGGGGAATATAGTCATGAAATGGCATTCTCTTAATTGGTTCAATAAATTATGGAAATTTAATATCTAAATATGGAAATTCCTACAACAGATTTTAACCCGTTATTTCTCCCTCAGTGTCAGCATAGCCTGGGATATACGCAAGGTACAACAGATGTTTGTGAAGTTTGTCGAAGGGCTTTTACACTTGGCCAAGGTAACCAGGCTCACATCCATAGAAGAAAAAGTGTAAACAACGTACTCTTATTGCGTGAAACAAAAAAAGAGAGATGATCGCAATCAAAAAGGAAACAATTGATTCCAAGATTAACAAGCTCTCAAAGTTCATAGCAAATTACAAATTGTAAGGGATTGCTAGCTAGAACAATTAGAAAGGATGTAGTGTGATAATAGAGTGCATGGTAGAGGTAAGGGCGAATGAATCAAAAGCAGGGAAGCAAATGGTAGGTTGTACTGGACGATGATCATGTTTTTCTTGTTAAACTAAAAAACTATGGAGAAGTGTTTTCGAATAACCATAAATTAAGTTTCTAATTGGTTTCTCCTTATAATAAAGACAAGTTGTATGAATAATAACCATAAGCGTATAAAGACAAGTTTGTAATTTATACGCTTATATAATAACTTAAGTAGAGAAGATGGACACAATATAAAGAAAATGATACAACATATGGGAGGATCTACGCAGAGAAGAGAAGTAGTGGGAGACAGGGAGATGAATGAATAATTACAAATATTTTCTTTCATTGATATCTCTTTAAGTTATACTCCCTCCTTTCCAAAAAGAATTTCTCTTTACAAACAAAATTTTTATCATTTGATGGTAATAGATTGTAAATTTCAAAAGAACAACTGAAATACTAAAGTTTTTGAAAATTTCTTAATGTAAAAATCAATATATTTATAATAGTTTACGAAGAAAATTTGTTCCATAAAGAGATTTTAATATGTGACAAAAAAAACAGAAAAAGAGAAGTTTTGAGAAATGCCATTTTTGAAATGCCACTTTTCAAAATCTTTGCAAAAATGACATTTTTTCAAAATTATAGATTCATTATATCATTTATATTTGGCTTAACTAAGTTGTATTATGGTTTAGTTTTGAGGGTTTAGGGGTTTTTAGTGGTCGAAACATTTTTCGGTGTTTATAATTTTAAGATTTTAGCTCGCAATCCATTGTAGCATTTTTGCAAAGTGGCTTACCAAAAGTGGCATTTTTACAATTTCCCAAAAAAAAAAATTTTAATGTTTTCTATGCATTTTTATCATTTAATGGTAATAGACTGTAAATTTCAAAAAAAAATTGAAATTCTAGTGGTTGAAAGTTTTTGAAAATGACACATGTCCTTACTCGTTAATCTCAAATGTGTCACTCATTAATCTCAACATTAATGATATAAAAGAACCCATCTTCCTGATTCCTCCCCTTCCACGATCAAGGTTTTTAAACTCATCCTTCCTCGACAGCCGTGATTCAGATCTCTCTTCCGCAATATGGGATTCCTTCTTTGCATGTGTGATTACTACTCCGATCGATTTCAGTGCTCAATTCAAGGTGTTGTGCTCCATAAATCTCACTTCTCACTTCTTTTTTCTTTAACTACTCTTCACCAATATGTACTTTTAAATAAAATCACTTCGACTAAAAAAATGCGATTTACCTAATTTTAGTTTTGTTATATACTTAAAAATTATGTTAAAAAAACTCGCGCGTATGCGCGGCTACTCACCTAATTATCAGAAAAAAAGATGAGAGAATGAATCCGTAGTCCCGCTCCTATCTCAAATTCAAATTTCGAAATTTGATTCGGCGAAGAGCCAACCGTTGCATCTCAATATTTCATTTAT